GATTACCAGCTGATTTTAATGAATAAATACCTTTTGAAATAATTGAAAATTCTAACAGCTTTTTTTCTTCAATTTAGTGGAAAAAACCATAGTCTTCATAGACATTTTTGTGCGTACAATGGGACCTATATCCGATCTCACGGATGTAAGTTTGCCAGCTCTTTTCTTTGAAAGTTTTTTTCCTAAATTTGCCATATTACCTTCCTTTAGACGTACTCCTTCAATTGCTATTTCCGACAAATGTGGACTGATTCACGACTGAAATTTAATGGAACACAAACTAAACAATCGCTATCGTTAAGTATGGCTATGCTGGATAAGATTTGGAAGCCCGATACGGTAAAAATCGATGCTGACTAAAGAAACCATAGCATATGTGCTTGCTTCTAGTATTTCTGGAACGGGGCGCGGTCCTATACACACACAATGACTACAAGTAATCGTTTGGTAAGACTCTATCCGGATGGGACCGTATTGTTCAGTAGCAGGCTAACTATCAAAGGCAACCTTATCCTTTATTTTCTGAAGTCGTCTGGAATTGTTGAGGATTTACTAACCCTATTTTAATGCATAATTTAGGAAAATGTGCAATGTCAATGAGGAGATATCCGTTGGATCGACAGGTTAGAATTTTGGGCTTTTAATAAGGTTTTTGAAGTTTAAAAGTTATGCAGTGCTGCACATGTGTTCGCATGGACCTTAACATTTTACAGTTTTGCAAATTGAAGGATCTTAAGGCAAGTCCTCAAATGTGAGAGAGTAGCTACCGAGAACGAGTCCGTCGTTAGCTCTTAAGAGCACTTTGAAATTTTAAACAGTCATTTGATAGTCAAGCGAATCAAATTTTTAAGTACACTTTTTCTATACAGCGCAATTAAGGAAAACGACGTCTAGCTTGCAAGAAATCCTTAATACGATTCCAAACAAAAAAAAAAGAGCTAGGGAGAAGTTAACAAATGCCGATTAATCTCTTAACCCGCGTGCTTTATTTTGGATAAAAAAGGAGTTCTATAATATTTTGACGAGCTGTTTCTTATACTTTTGCTTGCTTGCATGAACTGTTGAAAATTTGAAAGGTCAATCGTAAGCAATTTATGGATCGAGCAAGGATTATACAAATGTTTAGAACCCCATACTTGATTATTTCACTAACGTAGCGATGTGTTTGGATTTTAATCAAACTTATTCGATGAGATACCTTTCAACCTGTACAGAAGCAAAAAACTGTGTCGTGTTTGTCAAACAAGCGCACCTTCTTCCTGAACCCATTTAAAAAAAATTAAAGAAACCGGAAATTTTAGCAGTTTCGTGTATCACATCAATTGAAAGAAGAAGTCTAGAAGTGCATACTCAAAATATTCCAATTCAATAAAACCAAAATCGTTGGATAAGCCAAGTTTGCTTTTTTGACTGCTAAATTTAAATGACATACAATGATCCAAAACCTTAGTTATCTTAGAACATTCTAGACTTTGAAAAGAAACGGCACGAACTTCTTTGACAACCTAAAAGATCCGAAGAATGGCTCTAAATAATTGAATACCTCCATGTTTATACAGGCCTGCCGATTAGTGATAGGATCTTATGCATTTGGCGAAGATGAACTGTTATACGATTGGGGAGTGAGGGGTACGGATAGAGGAGTTCAGGTACTTTTTTTTATAATATAACTCCACAATAAGTTAACAAATGCGTTGACAAATGTCTTTTACCATAGATGGACTACGATGGGATCAAAGAGCTGGCGCAATTCACTATGACAGGATTTCAAGTGTTCAACTCAACAAACATGACACGTGACCGTAAGACCATCGATTTTATAAAAAATTCGATCAATCCGGATGTTCTCGCGAAATCCATGTAGTCTTTTGAACCATTCGCTGAATGCAAAACTACATAAATTGGTTTTTGCTGTTTAGTATATTATTTTCAACCGAATATGAAATGGTGAATACTCATGTCATACTCGGTTGCCTCAAAGTCTTAGCGTTATTTTCCTACTCATTTTTCAAACAAAAATTAGAAACAAGTCAAAATTGAACAAATTAAGAATTTTGCATTTCGACAAAAAGATTGTGGATCTTCATGGCTGAGCTGCTTTAACTCTCCTCATCGAACCAACAGGGCGTCCCGAACGATGTATCTTTGAGGTCAAAATCGCCATCTTTAAACTGCTCAAACCAATTTTGAGTTGTCCTAGCGGGATTCACTTCTTTGCCGTACACATTACATATCCATCTTCCTTGCTTTGCTTGGTCAGTTGAACGCGAATAGAAAAAATTGTGGAAAATGCTCATATAATGATCAAAAATTCAACAGAAATTATCTCGAATCAAATAATCAAATAAATTACCTCATAAAGAAACAATTCTCTTTTTAGAATATGATACCACAATATTTTGAACTGCGCAATTTCAAATTGAAAAAATAATGTCGTAACTAAGGGCCAACCCAATTTATGTAATTCGACACACAGGCTTGCGGAAGGTAATCGTAAGGGGGTCCGAGACGTAAACTGCCA